GCGCTCGCTGCCGCCTGCGGGACGAGCGCCCGGCTCCCGTCGTGGCGGGGCCCGCGCGGCCCCTGCGGGCTCCGGCCCTGGGCTGGCCGCGGTGCCGCTCCGAGGGCTCCGGGCTCGGCCGGTCCCTCTGCCCGTGCAGGGCGGCCGCTGCCCGCGGCCCCGGGAGGGTGTCGGGAGCCGGTCGCCTCCTGTGCTGGGCCTGGACCGGCCTCCTCGTGTGTCGCGCGTGGCCGGTGCCGCCGCCCCGCGCACAGCACAGCAGAGCAGCCCATGGGTGCCACCAGCGCGAGGGGCCGCTCCGCGCGCTCTGCCCGCTCCCGCGCTGCCCGGGGCCCGGCTGCGGCCGCGGAGGTCGCGGCTCCGCAGCGGCAGCGAGCGGCGCCCGCCGGAGCGGGGAGGGCGCTCTGCGGTTAGGCACCCCGCGCGCCCCATCTTCCTCGTGCTCCGCGGCTGCTCTCGTGCTCAGCAGTGGCCTGAATCACGGCAGCGGGAGCCGCTCCAGAGCGGTGCCCCGGGGCCACCGGGGATCCCGCCCGTTAACGGGTGAACGTTTAACAGCGCTCGAGGCCGCTCCTGTTTACGAGGCGCCGCCAAGGGCGGCCCGGGCTGAGCCGAGCTCTCGCTCTCCTCCCGGGCTGCGCTCGGGGCTGGGGAAGCCTTTGGGGGTGCCGAGGGGCACCCGGCCCCTTCCCGGCGCTCCATGAGCACCCATGGGGCCTGCGCCCCGTCGCCGTGCAGCACCTCCCCTGTGTTCAGCTGCTCTCCGTCCCTGAACCCACGGGCCGCTCGTCCAGGCGCGGCGGTCGCGGGGAGCCGCGGCGGGCACGGGGAGCCCCGGCGGCGCCGGCTCCCACCCCTGCGCTGCTCACGTCTCCTGTCTCTGCCTTGCAGCCGGGGTGATGCCATGGCCTCTGCGAGCGCCAGCAGGGCCAGGGCAGGGCCGCCCTGCGAGAAGTCCCAGCTCTCCGTGAAAGGTGGGTCCTGTGGGGTCGTGTCCAGCATCTGGGAACATGGAGTTTGGGGTGCACCCCCCAGCAGCTCCTGGGGAGGGGGCTGTGCCCAGGCCTGTGCTCTCCCCGTGCCCGGGGCTGGGACGCTCCCCGGGGAGGCAGCGGGGCCGGGGAAGCCAGCGCTGCCCCTGCCGCAAGCGCCCGTCCCGCCGGGAAGCGGCCGGTGTCTGGGATCCCCGGTGCTGGATGTCCTTCCCTGCCCGTGGATCACAGCCCTGGGCACGTGGTGACTGCACGGGGTGTCCCCACAAGGACACCACGTTCCTGCCGTGGGTCCTGGCCTCACGCCGGGGGCAGCGCCACTGCAGGTGACAGAGCAAGGACTCTGGTCTTGAGGGCGCTTCTCTGCATGAGCTGCTGCCTTGAGGCCTCCTCGGGCACTTGAGAAGCCTTGGACAAGCCCAGCGGCTCCGTGTGGAGTGGCTCCATGCCGAGCGCTCCGTGGCTCCTGCTCCCGTGGCCACGAGATGGCTCCAGACGCCCAGAGCTGCATGCGCAGCTCTGCCTTGCGCTGTCCTGGCTGCTGGAGGATTGTCCTGCCCCTCAGGAGTGCCTTCTACCTGACCTGGGGACCAAGAGGTCCCCGCAGTGGGCGCCTCTTTCCTGGGTGCCCCAGAGAACCTCCCCTCTGCCCGGCTGGTTCATGGGAGACGTGGGGCTGGGAAAGGCAACGTGGCCGAGCTGGGGCTGGGGGAATTGCTGGGTGCCCGTGGGGGGTTCCCGTGGGGGGTACGGGCCCCCTGCGGCCGCCCGACCCCGCGCTGTCCCCGCGTGCAGTGGTGTCCGTGAAGCCCAAGGCGCAGAGCCGCCAGTCGCGCATGAACTGCTACGTGGAGGTGGCCGGTGACGGGCTCCCCGGCGAGACCAAGAAGACGGGGAAGCAGATCGGCATCTCGGAGGTGCTCTGGAACGAGATCCTCGTGCTGTAAGTGTCGGTGGTGGGTGCCGCGTGGCTGGGTGTCGCTGGGTTGTGCCTGGGGCTGCAGCTCGTTGTGGGCACCGGGGAGCTGCTGGGGGGCTCGGAGGGAGCTGCCTCCGAGCAAGGGCAGCGCGAGGGCCGGGCGGGCGCGGTGCTGGCAGGGGGCTCTGCCACCACCCCCTGGCGTCGCCCCGGGCCCTCTGCTCCCCCCAGGCCTGGCCGCACTGACTGCCCCTGCACGGTCTCTCCCCAGGAACGTCACGGCTCAGAGTCACCTGGACCTGAAGGTCTGGAGCTGCCACACGCTGAGGAACGAGCTGCTGGGCGCAGCCTCCGTCAGCCTCTGGAACCTGCTCAAGAGTGGCGGGAAACGTATGTACGGGCCCTGCGCGGCTCCCTTGTGGCCTGTGCACGGGTGCCCTCTGCAGAGGGGCGGCCATCGGGGCAAGGGGCACCCCGGGTGCGGGCGGGGCACCCGGGGGGCGGCAGCAGCCCCGTCCCCCACGGGATCCCCCAGAGTTTCCTTCCCGTACGTGTGTAGTGGAGACGCAGCCGCCGCTGGAGCAGCTCCCGGCCCGACAGGGAACAAGGCGACATTGTGCGAGCTGGGCCGGCCCGTCGGGCACGGGGGGCTCCAGGGTGGCGGCACCGGTGCCTCCTTAGCCAGGGTGCCGCGGCCGGGACGCAGACACAAACCCCTCTGCTATTTGCTGCCGTTTGCGGCCACCAGCGTGTGGCCTGTGGCGGTGGCCGGCACATGAAGGCCCCATTGAGGGCTGGGGGCTGCACGGGGCGGCTGAAGGCACCTCCTCTCCTTCCCAACAAAACGCGGCCGCTGGCGAGAGGCAGGCTCGCTTTGAGGGGGCAGAGGGGCCTCCTGCGCGCAGGAGGGATGCGGGGCCGGGCAGGCTCCCCTGTGCCAGGGGACGGGGTGGCACTGCCAGCTGCAGGCACGACACCGCACCGGTGTCCCCAGCGTGCCCCGGGGGACAGGCTGCCGTGCCAGGGCCCGAACTGTCCTCGGTGCTGGGGGACCCTGGGGCTGGCACTGCTGGGGCCCGCGGCGTCGGGGAGCCCTTCGGCTGCTCCCTTGTTGCGGCCTCTTGGGGACCTGGGGGTCCATCCGCCCTCGGGTGGCTCCTGCTCCCGCCGGGGTGCCCTTGGGGAGGGCGCTTGCAGCGCGATGCCCCGGGCACGTGGAGCCGCCGGGTCCCGCCGCAGCGCTCAGGGCGCTCCCCACTTCGGGGCTTCTCTCCGGGCGAGCGCCACGTTCCCGGGGCGGCCGCTGCCCCCTCCCTACCTGCCCGCGGCCGGCAGCGCGGGCACAATCGCCTCTTTCATTAGCGGGCGTCCCGGGGGGCCCTGTGGAAAATGAATGGAAAAGGCAACTGGCTGTTCTCGCCCATCCGTTAACGTGCACCAGAAAAAACGTGTCAGATTTTTCCTTGACACGGTGGGCTGGGAGGGGAGGATCCTTAAAGCTGCAGAGCCCAGCTCAGCCGGGGAGCTGCCGCCGCAGGGAGCTGCTCGCGCGCGGCCCCGCCGCGCTGGGACCCTCCTGCTCCCTTTCTCCGGGTACTGACCCGCTGCCCTGGGCCCTGTGGGACTTTGCTGCAGCCTCAGCTCTGTGCTCATGCCCCTCGTCCAGCCCGGTGACCCTGTGCGTGGGAGAAGGGGCTCCAAGGGTTGTGCCCTCTGCCGCTTGCAGAGACCCTTGCGGGTGGCATCTGCCTGCTGGGCAGTGCTTAGGGAGCATTTACCCAAGGGCTGTTCTTGGCTGGCAGCAGACCCATTTTCTAGCTTAGTTGGTCTTACTAAGGTTTTCTCTAAGTTTCTCCTACGTGAGTGTAGCTGTGACCTTTAGTTTGGATTTCTGTAGGTGTTTTAGCGTGGCAGAACTGTTCTGGTCACCTGGTGTTTGTGCAGGTGGCTGTTCTGGCAGCCTGGTGGCCTCCGTGGCAAGGTAAGGAGGGCTCCCGCTTGCCAGGGAGAGGCTGCAGCTCCCTCTCCATCTCCCGGTCCTTGTGCCCAGCTTTGGCGCGGGTGGAGGCACCTCGGGGCTGAGGGCCGAGCCCAGGGAAGGTGGAGAGCGAGGAGCCCAGGCTGTTGTGGAGCAGCTCCTGCTTCAGCAGGCTCCGGCCTTGCTCGCAGCTTCCCGGTGCCTTGGCAGCGTCGCTGGGGCCCTCTCCGCAGCCTCTCCTGGCAAGGCAGCTCCCTCGCGGCTTCAGACGTGCTCTGGACAGGGAGCCACAGAGGTGGGTAAGAACAGGCCCCACGGCAGCAGAGGGGTCAGAGCCTTCTGTGGAGCTGCTCCCAGGGCTCCTTTAAACAGCAGCTTCGCGCCGGCGCAGCCCCTGCCCTGGGCCCCGCGCCTGGTCCGGCGGCTCCGGGAGCTCCGCGGCGTGCGGGGCAGGAGCGGCGCCCGCGGCCTCGCCACGGGGAGGCTGCTCCGGGGCCGTGCTGGTTTTCGCTGTCCCCTGTCTGCGAGCGGGGGATGTCGGGGCAGCCTTTGGAGCGACAGGAATGAGCCGGGCTGCAGCTCGCGAATGAGCGCGCTGCTTTTATGACTCGCTGCTCGGGTTGCAAGTTACATCAACAGGCTCCTGTTTCTTGAGTGGCACCATATGCCAAGATTTTACACATCCTGCAAGGCGGTTTCTTTCCATTCCGCTGCAGCTCAGGCCGAGCGGCTGGAGCCGTGGTCTTGAGGAATCCTTTGAGCAACAAGCTCAAAGCAACAAGCCCCCAAACCTCTGCAGAGCTGCAGCTGCCCGCTCTTCACAAATGTGCTGTCAAAGGAACATGGCAACACGGTGCAAAAGCAAAGGCTGCTTGGGCAAGGGAGCATGAAAGCAAACACACAGACTAATGAAAGGAGCAGAGAATTGGCTGGCGGGGTGGGTGGCTGTGTGATAGTCCTCCCAACGCGGCTGCTGCAGGCTGGGATGTCATGGAGCGGGACTGGTCTGCTCTGCGTCACCCTCCCGGTGCCGTGTTACAAGTGTCCTGCACTGCTGGTGGCACCTTGACCTCCAGCGCTGCCCCTTGTCTGCTCTGGTCAGCACCAGGCTGCCCTTTAGCAGGAGGAGCAGCCTCCCTCTTCTCTGCTCTGAAAGCCAAGGAGCTGCCGGGGTCCCTTGGGTGCAGACCTGGCTGCTGCCTCCTTGTGCACCCGTTGAGTCTGTGCACAGCTGGAACCCTGTCCCAGAGAGCAGCTCCTTGGTGTTCTCCTTCCATCTCATCTTTGCTCACAAGACTGGTGAATCAGAGGAAGGAAGGAGGCAGAAGTCTGAGCTCCTGGTCACGCTACCTGGCGGTTATGAGGAGTGGAGTGGGACAGTCCCCGTGTTCAGAGCAGCCTCTCCAGCGACACGATGCCCTTTGGCTTCTCCCCTGCTCGGCCGCTGTGCCTGTGGGATGGACCCCAGCTGAAGTGGACCTGTGATGCTGGTGCCCAAGAGCGGGTCATTAGCAGGGCAAACCCTCTCGCGGCCTGGAGAGGAAGGCTAATCCCTTCCCCATGCCCCTGGATTGCTCTTGGGCCTATGGACAGCTGTGGAGGGTCTCATTCTCCCTGCTCTTGTGAGAGGGATCATGGCCACAGCACGGAGTCATTCCTGTGGCCGTAGATGGGCACAGCGCTTAGGCTGGTTTTCACCTGCCCAGCAGCGGGTGAGTTCTGGACGTGCCGCTGCCGGCTGGGCAGCCACGCGTGGCGGGTGGCACAGGGAAGGCAGCGTGTCGCCGTGCCCGAGTCACCGTGCCCAAGAACAGCCCCACAGGAGTTACTCGCTGCTCTGCGTTTTCTGCGTAGTCCCGAGGTGCCTTCAGGGGAGGGCTTCGCCTTTGGGATTTGGTTTTTCTACTGGATTAATCAGGGGTAAGTTGCTGTTTGGAGCACGTAGTGGTTGTGTCCGGAGGATCTGCTCATCTTCTTTTGGAGTTGATGGCAGTCCTGGCTGCTCCACATAGGGCTTTCCTTGGGTCATGGATACAGCTTTGGTTGTGTGGAGCCTCTGAGCCTGTACCTGGTCGGTACATGCAGTGGAAGGATGGGGAGAGGGTTGCAGGGAGTGGACGGGGTGGGAAGCTTGGGGCGCCTGTCTGGAAGCCCTCGCAGCCGCGTGCGAGCGGAGGCGACCGCGCTGCCGGCTCGCGCTGCTCGTGCCAACGAGCCGTGTCAGACGTGTGCGGTTACGGCGCGTCCCCGGGGGCTTGCGCTCAGCCTGCAGCCCTTATTGCTCTCGCTGCTACCAGCCTTACTTCGTGGAACTGTAAATCTGCTTAATGGGCTGTGTGGGAATTCCAGCTCGGCTCCGCTAAATGGGAGCTCTGATGCTGTGTGCGGGGCGCTGCAAGCAGCTGAACTGAGACCTTATTCAGGACCAAATCACCCCCCGACCCCCTCCCAAAATAATAATAATCCCTCTGACATTCTGGCTGCTCGTGAGACACAGGCAGCCTTTGTGCGCAGCCGCTGAGGGGACCCTCTGTTGGTGCAGGAGCAATGTCCCTTTGTGCGTCCTGTGCGCTGGATGGGGACAGTGAATGGAAGGTTCTGCTGGTGTTTATTTTCTTTAGGAAAGCTGGAGGGGGTGGAGAGGGGAGAAGGAAGCCGGCTGGGAGGTTCATGTTCACATCCTGCGCTCGGAGACACCTCGTCTTGCCGCCTCCGTGGGCCGGAGCGCTCACAATGAGGGTCTGTGCGGGCGCCGGGGCGCGCGCTCGCACACGGGGCTGCCTGGGCAAATGCAGAGCTTTATGGCTCCGAGCAGACCGGGAGAAACGGGGTCTGGCTTTGTTCTGGTTTGAGGCGTGTTCAGCAGCATCTTCCATCTTGAAGCAGCCCGAGAGATGGGTGCCCTTTGGAAGCACGTTGAGAATAACGTGTGTAAGTGATGTACCTTGAAGTGCAATCTCCTGAGCGCTGCTAGGGCGGTAGCAAGCAGCAGACAGACGCTGGGCTCCCGCCTTGGCCCTGTGGCGTGGGCACCTTGTACTGGGAGGGCAGGAACGTGGCTGCGGAGGCCCTGCTAGCTGCTGAGGATTGAGCACCTGGGGCACCTCTGCAGGGTCTGGAGTTTGTCGTGCTGCCCTCATGGGGGCGATGGGGACCCGCCAGCTGGGCCAGGTCCCGTGGCCCGGGGCTGGGTGCCGGGCTGGGAGCCGCCAGCCCCGCATCCAAGGCAGCTGCAGAGCTCTTGCTGCTCTGGGCCCCGGCCGGTGCCGTGGGTGGACACGGTGCTGTGGGTGGACACGGTGCCCTGGTGCCGCCGAGGCAGCTCCCGCACCCCTCCCCGCGGCTGCTTGGGACAAAGCAGCCACGAGAAAATGGTGCCGTTGTGTCATGAGCAATCTGCCTGTAATAAAAACATTATTTGAGCAAGTGAGTCAGGAAGCGTCTGGGCTGGTGTCCCAGGCTGGGGCGGCCAAGTTCTGTCCTTCGGTGGCAGAGCGGGCGTTTCGGTGGTGCCGGCCCCGCGGGGCATCACTGCAGTGGTGCTGGCGCCAGCCCAGCGCCCGGGCCTGAGCTGCTGCGGGGGCTCGGGCCTGCAGGACAGTTCCTCTGTGCTGGGTGGGGTGGCCGTCCAGTGGAGTGGCTGTCCAGTGATGGCTGGCAAGGACGGTCCTCGGTAGCCAGCGTAGCTCGCCAGCTCTACCGCGATGTGTCCCTTGCATGTGGGGAAGTGCTGGGCCGGTGTCTGCGGTGTCCTGCTGGGGTGTATGGACCTGGAGGAAGGACCACGTGTGTTCTCCTTCGGGAGAGAGGGTCCAACTCCACTGTTGAGGGCTGGAAGACTGAGGTCCCATGGGGGAGCTGGGAGTGTGGAGCCTTCCTGCCCAGCAACTGGCTTCCCTGGTGGTGACTGCTTGGTGTCTGTCTCCATGTCCCCTCATCTCCCACAGTGGAGAACAGGCAGCTGACCCTGAACCTGCAAACTGAGAACAAAGGCAGTGTTGTCTCCGGCGGCGAGCTGACGATTTTCCTGGACGGGCCTGCTGTTGATGTGGGAAGCCTGCCGAATGGCAGCGCCGTGACAGAGGGGGAGTGCCGCCCAGCTCCGCATGCGTGCAGCAGCTCTGAGCACGAGGCCGGGAGCGGCGGCGGGGAGAGGAGTGGGGCTGACATCACAGCCCCCCGGACCTCCGAGCCAGCGTCCGAGTGCCAGCAGCCGCCTCCCCCAGGTAAGGCTCGTGCTCCTGCCTGTCCCAACTGCAGGCTGCTCGTGGGCTCCCATGGGACAGGAGTGGTGGCACTGACAGGATCGTGCTCCGGCCTCCCCGTCGGTGTGAAGGGAGCAGCTCTGGGCCCTCCACAAGCTGCCTGAGAGGCTTCTCCCCTTCCCTAGCTTCCCTGTGTTGGATCTGGGAACTATCTTCTGTGTTTGACGGGCTGCTCAGATTGGCAGTTCCCTGTGGCCAAGGAGTGCGTGGGGAGGTGGTGTGGGCTGATGTCTACCTGGTCAAGGATCCCCCAGGGGCAGCAGTGACAGATTCAGCTGGTAGTGGGCAGTGCCCTGGTTTCCCTCAGCCCCTTCCCTTCCCGGTGGGCGTTGGGTGGTAGCCACCCGCACAGCTCCCGTTCTCCCAGCTCTGCTGCCCATGGCTTTGGAAAATGGGACACCCAGGGGCTTTGCTAGATGAAAGGTGCTGTACAAACACTTGTAAGCAGATGCTTCCCCTGGATTTTAGTGTAAAGGGATGGTAATATATTTATCTTATATATTTATGTTTCATGCATTTGTGTTTCTGTTTCTAGAAGAAAAGAGGCTGGAAATTAGTTGGTGCCTTAGCCTTAGTTTCTTCATCTTCTTCTTCTTCTTCAACTATTCAGGGCCTCAAGCAGCTGGACGGGAGCCCGTCAACATGGCTGCAGCTACAGAGAGCAGACACCACCCTCCCACAACGAACTGCTTTGGAAGCAGATCAAGGTAAGGATCCCTTGCTAGACAGGACTTCTCTTTCCATCAGTGAGAGATTACTGAGAGCTAAGTAGTGTCTCGATGGACCTTTTACAGTGGGTGTCACTCTAGGTGTCTAGGTGAGCTCACAACAAAGGAGCCTGTAGGAGACTTGGAAAAGGGTGTGCTGGTAGGTGCACCATGTGTGATGGCCATACAACCAAGGTGCATCTCACCTGAGCCCCTCAGTGTGTTTCGTTTCCCAAGTTGTTCCAGGTCTGCAGTAGCTTGGGTGGTTTCCAGCAGTTGCTGTTCAGCTGAAGCGTGGTGCCTGGAGGCATGGTGAAGCAGCGGGGTGTGCAGAACGCGGTGACTACTCGGGTAAGAAGCAAAAGGCCTGGACTGTGTTAGGCTCCCTTCGAATGGCTCCTCAGGATTATATGGACCACACCTCTCCTGCCTTGAGTAGAGCCCTGGCCAGGGAGCAGAGTGCCCATCCTGGCAATGGGCACAGTGGGAACACTTTGGAAAGTCTGGGGAGGGCAGGAGAAGCAACGCATGCAGAGCTACAGGGATGTGACAGCTACTTTCAAAGAAAATGAGAGGCTTGGGCAGCAGGCCATCCTGTGCCTGGCACAGTGCCTTCCCTTGCCTTCTTGCTGGCTGGAGTGGCTCGGAGCAGCTCCTTTTGGAGCTGTGGTTATTGAGACGTGTCACACTGTCAACATGGAGTTGAATTTAACACCTATTTATATTTCCAGAGCATGGCAGTGGCCCAGCAGCTTATACAGATGTTCTGGTTAGAGTTGTGTCTGCAGACAGGGAGCCTGCAGCCTTGGCTGCTGAGCGATTCTGCACAGCCTGCAGGCTCCACGTTCAGGGGCATTCGCAGCAGCAAGCCCTGGGCTTTGAGTTCCTCTGCTCCTCCTTGATCTGCCAGCCACATACAGGAGAAGAGCGAAGGGAAAAGGGAAGAAATGTTTTCCGCTCTAAAGAGTGATCGTGTTTGTCTCACTCGAGGAAGAAGTGGGGCAGGAAATTAGAAACAGATTGCTGCACGTAGTTTGTGTCCTTCTGCTGTGGTTGCTCCTCTTGATTCCTGCTGCTTGGGCATAGGAGGCTTTTCACAGATGAGATGCGTGCTCAGTGTCAGCTCTCAGTAGGTGCTAGAAAGCCTGAAAGAAGGTTCTAGCTTAGGAGGCTCAGCCTGCTGCCTAGCTGCTTCTGACTGCTCTTCTGCTGCCTGAAAATTTCTCCTCTTGCTCTCTTCTTGAGCGATGAGCCCGTTGAGGCATGGTGAGTTCTGGACAGCACTTCTGTGGTGTCCTTCAAAGACCTTCCAGATAAGGAAATTGTGTAAGCTCCTTAGCTGGTAGAAGCTCTTCTGCTGGTAGGTTGCTGAGCTGTTGACATTGCAAGCCACAAAAGCCTATTGACAATCATGAAAAATCCTGTGGCTTTTCTGCTCTGGGGAATCTTCTAGTCAGTTGTCAATTCACGCTAGACCCACCTGAACTTAGGGTTTTTCTGGACATAACACCACAATTTGAAGGGCTGCTGCATGGGGCAAAACACTGCTGCCTGTACCCACCACAGAGGCAGCTGCCTTCTCCAGAGTGGAGTCCTGTGCACATGGGGAAGCTGTTTGATATTTGCTCTGTTCATATGCAGAGCGCTGTTTATTTTCATGGGCTTGGTGATGGATGCTGGCAAACTCCCTCATAGGGAAAGAAAAGGGTCATTCTTTGTTCCTTAGCAGTTTCTACTCTCTCTCCTCAAGGGAAACTGCTTGGTCAGAGCTTCTCTTTCTTCTCCTGAAAAAGTGTCATCTTGGGATTTGCTGCTAACCTTGGTGACGGGGTGTGAAATTCCACAGCCTTCTGTGTGAAGAGAAAATAGAGAGCCCAGAGGAGTCCGCGGGGGCCGTGGGTACAGAGGGAGTAGCCACAATCCCCATCTGTTTTGTTGTGGCCAAAGGGACCTCTTTTGACACTAGGGAATGAAGTAGTCTGGTTTGGGGCTCACCTTCTGTGGAGACTCGGGCTGTCAAACCGTGTGTTGTGTTTGTGATCTGACCACGGCATGTGAAACTTCACTGTCACCTGTCAGGAGCTCATGCACACTCGCATGGTTTCTCTAGCTCTTTCTTTTCTCTACTTTTTGACGTCCCAAATTCACGATCCAACTAGTGGTGGTTTTGGGCATCCTTGAGAGCAGCTCTGGGTCACTCGGCCTGGTATTTTCTCTGTCCCCATCCTGGGAGCCCCTTGCTCCAGGTCGCTCCACAAAGCCCTGCATATGGCCATGATCCTTTCCTGAACTTGTGGCCTGGGTGATGCTGCAGCAGGAGAAGGGCAGCTGAGCTGTGATTGACCATCTGCAGCTCCGGGCATGTGGAGGAGAGGCAGGGAGAGCTTGTGGGGCTGGAACGGGCTAGGACGCTTTGATCAGGACTGTTCAGGACTTCTGTCCTGGTAGGCCTGAGGGCAAAAGCCTTAGCTCCAAGCTGTTCGTAGACATGTGTGGCCTCTGCTCGCTGCCTTGCAAACAGGAAGGCTGGGAGTGGGGGCCCTTGGCCTCCATCTCCACATTTTTCCCGAAGTCAGAAGGAATTTCTCAGCTTGGTGTTGCTGGTGGAGGCTGAGGGCAGCGGGCGCTGAGCCTCGCGGGCCACCCTTGTGGCCTTGGTGCTGCCTCTTGCCCCGCGCACGGCCGAGGCCGGCGTGGCCTCCTCTCCTGTCAGCGGGGTGTCAGGGACAGGGCGGCTCTTGGGGAGGAGGAAGGTTCACGTCGCAGCCAGGGAGGAGCCCGGGCCACGGACCCTGTGCGGAGCAGGGGCTCGGCTTGGAGGAAGAGCAGGAGCTGGAAGGTTTGTGTCATCATCCTGGCTGAGGCCGCTTTCCTTTTTGGTGCCTCTGGCGCAGGAGCCGGGCAGTGCCCCAGGTCCTGCTCCCAAGGGAGTGACGGGGCTCGCACCCGCTGCCCCCCGCGCGCCACCGCGGGCACTTCCCATCCATGCTCTGCCCTGTTTTTTCCCTGCTTCTATTTTCAGAGCCTTTCCCGGTCCGGCATCGTCACGTGGCCCCACTGGGTTTGTTTCCAGGCGTCTATTAAAAGACAATGCCCAGATGGGAGCGCTCGTAGGAGGGCTGGGCTGGGCGGCAGGCCGCCTAATTCAGGCCTAGTAACCCTCTGTGGCCGCCTGGCAGCTGGGAAACATCCTGTTTTGGTTTCTAAAAACTCTCTGGGCAGCTTTTAGCTCCTCGGTGCTGAGAAGGGCAGGGCCAAGATGCAGCCCATGCCTTGGCCGGGGCGCGGGCGGGCGGCTGGGGCTGGCGGCGCTGCCCTTGGCCCCTGCCCTGCGCTGCCCTGGGGGCTGCCCCACCTCGGCGGGGGTCCCGGCTGGGGCTGCCGGGGCCGGGGGCACATGGAGGCTGCGTCCAGGCCCCACTGGATGCTGGACGCGGCAGGACACGGTCGGTGCTTCCATCACGGCCGAGGGAAGCTCCTGCTCAGAGCCTGCTTGGCTGCCCTGTGCTCATCCGTGCCTGCCTGCTGGCCTCTCTGCAGCCGTCGCCCTCCGCTTTCCCATGTCCCTGCGGTCCCAGCCCCTCCTCTGCCGTCACTGAGGGCTGCTCCCCAAGGAGGGCAGTGGGAGCTGCAGTGGGGCACAGCTGGTGCTGTGCCCCGTTGCTGCCAGACTGCCTTCCCCTCCCAGCTCAGCTGAGCCCTGGGATGTGGGGACAGCTGGAGGGTTTTGCCCTTTTAAGGGGAGAACTTGGCTGGAACAGGCTGCTGTTTAATCGCTGTGGTCCTCGCCCTCCCTGTCCTTGTTGCTTCAGCTGGCAGCGCTGCCCATCGCCCCGAGAGCTGCGGTGCCCTGAAGATGCCTCTGGCTGCTGCTTCCGACCCGAGAGAGCTGGGAAGCAGATTTGCCCCTGGGGCTCTCTCTGCCCAAACTGTGGAGCGAATATCAACAAAAATGCACAGAAAATCCGGCTAGGGAGTTGTCCCCAGGTGGTTGTGTCTCTGCCCTGCTGCTGAGGGGCACCATGCAGCACCTCTCCATCCTGCCCAGGGCAGCGAGCGGTGCCCAGCTCCCTGCTGCAGCCCTGCGTGCTGCCCTGCTCCGCTTGCAGTAATTGGCAGGCTTCTTAATGAGTGTAGAACCCCGACCTTCCCCAGAACGCCCTGCGGCGCTTGCAGGGGCCGGGGACGTGGAGGCTCCACTGCGCGAGGCTGGGGGGTTCGTGGGAGCTCGGGGCAGTAACCGGGGAGCAGGACCCGTGTCCAGCAGACCTTGGGGACAGCTGTACTGGGAGATGAAAGCACTGAGAAAAGGCAGGAATCGGTTCTCTCTGAGGCCGGGCGCGTGTCTCACCTCTGGTCTTCCCTCCCGCAGGATGCACCGGCATTCGGCTGGAGCGGCCAGGCAGAGCTCGGGCAGCGGGGAGCAGAGCCCCGGCGCCAGGACGCGGCACCGGCTGCAGGCCAAGAGTCAGAGCGGTGGCGGCGGGAGCAGCGGCACCGCCAACGGCGCAGGTGAGCCGGGCTGCTGCGGGAGCTGCGCTGCATAGACGTGTGTGCTGGACAGAGCTTGGGGCTACAGTTAGCGGGAGAAAATGATTTTCTGCTGAAATAAGGGATCTTCCAGTGCTCAGGACTTTCCTTCCTGAAATAGCTCCTCCAAGGAGCTATTGATTTTGCTTACAATAAGCTGAGCAGCCTGAGCTCCTCAGAGCTGCCTGGTAGGACTATTCCCCACTTCTTGAATAATTTCTATAGCTCCTCTCCGGAGTCTCCATGACATAGAGGCAGCATCTGGTTCCAGGTTTCTAAAGGGAGACTGGAAAAGCAATGTCACTGATGCCAGAGAGGACAACAGTCATCACAATTGAATGGACCTTTTTTTTTTTCCAGAGTTGTGAACATTTAGCTGAATTTGCCCATTAGTTTTCAGTGAAAAGGTTTTTGAGGTCTGTACTTGCCAAAATGGGGAGGAGCGGCTTTCTGCATCCAGTGCCAGAGAGGACACAAACCCACCTCTAAACAGGGTGTTGATTTTTATGCCAGAGCGCATCTGTGGAAAGGTTTCTCTTGTTTTCGCTTGGTTTTGCCCACAAAACCATAAATGCTTGGTGGAGCAAGGACTGGGATCTGATGAGTGCCTACCTATAAAGCCATAAGCAATTTATCCATCCAGCTTCCCTGGCTCTCAGGTGGAGGCAGCAGAGGAGTTCCAGCTAGAGACAGAGGGAAGAGCAAGAAGCTGCGCGATGGGATGGGCGAGACGTGTAGTGGGTGTGAGCTGTGAGGAGGCCCAGGTGCCCCCGTCCTGGGTGAGAGCTGCAGTCACCGTGTTGTTGGGTAAGAGGCAGGCAGTAGAAGTGACACCACTAGCACAGGCATTTCCTCCTCCCCTGCACTGGTTTTGCAAACAGCACCGTCCTTTCTTTTGCTTTTGTCAGAGACCTGGAAGGAAAAGCAGAGTACTTTGGTAGAAGGAAATGTTTTGTTCAACCCAAAATGAAGACTTTTTTTTTTTTTTTTTTTTCCCCCGTTTCACTGGAAAAACCTGGAGCAACGTAATTTCAGTTTGGCCAGAACTCATTTGGGGAGGGAGATGGGGAGTGGAAGGGCGAAGTGAAATGTTCCTGTTGAGCTGTCAGCGTTGTCTTGCTGCCGTCCCTGCTCCCAGCCTGGAGCTGAGGCTCGTGCCTGTGTGCGTGGAGCGAATGCCAGGGTTTGTCCACTGCCACCACCCAGCCCGCCTCAGTGTCCTCGCTGTGTAGGGGACAGTCCCTCAGGCTATGGACAGAGTTTTTGTTCCTCCAAGTATAACTTGGCATTGGGGTTTGGTTTGTTAAAACACGTTTTGTTGGATGAGCCCCAGCTTTCCCCCCGGGTTTATGTCCTCACTGCTGTTTACTGCTCACCAGCCTCTGTCCTCCAGAAGTCCTGCCAGCAACGTCTCTATTTCAGCATGGGGAGACGAGTGTTTTGAGCAGTTGGGACTAGCGCTGTGCTGTGTGTGACACTCCCGAGAGTGCCTCCAGAAGCCTTCCTCTTCTTCCATTTTAACGTATGTTGTTGACATTATTATGATCAGTTCTTGAACAGACTGTTGCAGGACTGAGATCAAGGACTTCCCAGTTACCTTTGTCACTCAAAGCTCTAATTTCATCTGAGAATAAAAGGTTATTTCTTGGCATGTTTCCTGCAAGGCCGTGTTGCTTAGCACTCACTGCTGCTGCTGAGCTCCTTCCTTATCAATTGAACTTTGGATCAGCTTTCCTCTTATTGCCCAGGACTGAGAGCAAGCTAACTACACAGTCATTACCTGGGTCACTTTGCAGGTTTTCTTGGAAGATTGGCACGATATACTCAAAGCTGTAAAACTGCCCTTTCTGAGGGCTTCCGAGGCTACAAACGAGCAGCAGGTGGAGATCTCCTTAGTGGGGTGCTGCAGGATCCCCGACAGAAGCTTCCAGGAGCCCCCGATTCAGAACCTGCATCTTCTTTAGATGCTGCCGCAGAGGCTCCTGCAGTCCCTAGGTGCTGGCACCAATATTTCCTCTGGCGACAGGGGATGTTGTCCTGCTCCCCTCGGCTGAAAAGCAAGAGAGTACTGAGCAGCTTGCCTCTCCTGTCTCTATCTGGGAGTGATTATTCTATTATAAGGTTCATTTCCTAGAATACTTCTGCATATTTTGGCTTTTAGGCAGAGATATTTCTCTTGTACTTTTATCTTCCTTTAGAGTTTTCTATGTTTCTTAACTCTTGGAGCTCTGCCTGCTTCCCTTTTTATGCTGTATTTTGCTGTTTTGTTTTTAATGCTTTTGTTTTGCCACTGAAAGCAGGATGCCTTCCAGCTGAAGTTATCCTGTGCTTGACTGTCAAGTCATGCTATTTGGTTACCTAATAAGTCTTCCCAAACAAATTCCCTTCCGTTTTTTGGTCTGCATTTTCCTCCCGATCAGTTTTCATCGTAATTTTCCTTTGCTCTCTGTCTTCCCCTTCCCTTTTCCAAAAGGGCAGCGGAATCCAGCTAAATTTATTTCTTACCAGTGCAGTGCCGTGCTCTCCGTGCCTGGAGGGGAGCTCATGGAGAGGCTTCCTGAGCTCTTGCTTGGTAGCCAAGGTAGCTGCAGCTGTGTGAGCAGCAGAGATGCTGAGCGCAGGTGCCAAGAGCCTCCGCTTCTGGGTGGTGGCCATTCCGTGAGGATCTGACACCTCCTCCTGGGTGCAGGGAGCCTTTGCGCAGCCTGGGACACCGCACGGGTCCCCATGTGGGTGGGAGCTGCTGCTGCCCACCATTTACTCTGGTGCCGGGGCTGGCAGCGGCGCTCCGTGGGCCCGCAGCCCTGCTACCCTTCCTACACTAACAGCTCTGCCTTTGCAGTGAACGGAGACCCGGCGGGCGCTGCAGACGGGGAGGAGGAGAGGCCGGCAGCGGGAGCGAGCCCCACGACGGCGGCGAGCGCGACCGACGGCTCCGTCGCCCTTCCCGCCGCCGCAGCCTCCGCGGAGGCAGAAGAGGCAGCGGCTGGTGCGGGCGCCCCGCAGCCGCGGGCAGTGGTGCTGGCCCTGGATGCTCTGCCCCCAGGGTAAGCAGCTCTGCTTTAGACTCCCCCGTTGCCCCAACAAGGCCGAGTGCTGCGGGCTGGTCATGCGTGGGGCAGGGGCTGGCCGTGCTGCGTGGCTCCTCTCTCCTCTAGGCCAGGAGTCTAATCCATGTCCACAGCAGGTCTCTGATGGAGCAGCAAAGTCCTCCGCTCTTCTGAAGTGTGGTGCAAGCAGTTGTAGGGCTATTGGTGAGAAGGGACTACATGAGAGAGGGCATATTTATTTCCAGGGAGCTCCCTTTGAGCAGGAGGGCATGATTATTAAGAAAGGAACCTACAGCCATCCTATAAAGACTGAGGAGGAGGTGGACAGGATCCTCACATAGCTCATTTGCCACGTGCTGCCCTGACACCATGAACAAACTGCCAGCAATGTCAAACACATCAGCAGATGGAGGCCAGCAGGACTTCTGCTGGGGCTCCCTGGGGCTCCTAGTAAAGAAGAGAGAGGAAGAGAGAGAGAGAGAGAGAAGGGCTTTGCTAGTGATGGCGCTGAATGGGTCTTAGATGATGTTTGAGAGAAACGGAGAGATACGGAGACCTTGAAGTCCTTCCCGTGGAGGAAGGTCCAGTGCTGCTGTGCGCTTTGGGAGCGGTGCTCCGTGGTGGCGATGGCAGCCGGGGAGGCCCGGGACGCTGTTGTGGGCCAGCTCGCTGCACTCGTGCCCTGCATCCCACTCCACCAGCAGCGGGTGATGGGAGCAGGGGCAGAGCGGAGCGGGCAGCGGAGCCGGCGCGAGCCGTGCGGCTCGGCCTGCCCCCGGCCTGGCTCGCTGTGCTGTGCTCGCCTCACTCCTCCCCTTTTCTTTCAGGCACCTTCGATTTTGGGCTGAAAGCGCAAAGCAGGGGGGTTGAAAATGGCTTGTGTTTCCTATGAAGGGAGCTGTTTATTTTCCTTTGGCTAAGCCAGTGCCTGGAAGGTCAGGGCCTCGCTCGTGTGTCAGTCACAGGTAATTAGGGTTAACAGCTCAGAGTGCCTTTATTCAGGGTGTGTGAGGGTTACTGTTCTCGGGCCCGGGCACTTCCTGTTTCCAGGCAGCTGGAAAAGTCCAGTGCTCTGAAAAAGGTCTTTATTCCAGCCAGAACCTATGCCTGTTGCTGCACCTACTGGATAGACCGGGATCTCCTTTCCTAGCAATGCCTTGCCCAGGGTGCAAACGGGCTGTTGTTTCTTTCCTGGGTTGTGGGGGCGGTGAGGGGCCTGTAGGTACCACGTAGGTACCCACAGCTACACAAGAACAGGGTTTGTGGAGGCTGTGGGGCCTCATGCTGCTGCTTTCTGAGACGTGGAGTCTTCGTTTCCCTGGCCAGAGGTAGAGCAGAGCCAAGCGGAAGGTGGCCAGTTCCTCTGTGTCCATCTCCTGTGCCGTGTTCACACACAGACCAGAAAATCCTGAATGTCGGAGGGGAGGAGGAAGAGACTGTAGCGTTTTGCTCTTTGGAGGTGGCAGAGGAGAGTAGTGGAAGGGGGGAAGGGGGGGAAGCTCTCCTCCAGGCTGGGCTTGCTGTTTTTGGGAACGGTGGAGATACCTTGGATTTGCACCTTGGATTCTTTCCACTCTTGCCCTGACCGTAGGATCTGTAGGGGGTGCAACAGAGCAACTGGCCTCTTGCACGTGTTGTCGGAATTGCACCCTGTGCTGGGCTGGCCTGCACAGCGCTTCGTCTGCTCGCTCGGGGGGAGTCCAAGTGCCAAGTTCTTTCCGGGTGGGGGACGGGAGAACTGAGTCCGGCCAGGGCCGTGTGTGCAGTCGGCGCCAGGTTTCCGCAGCGCGAGCCCTGCGCACGAGGAGGCTGGAGCAGCTCCCGCACGGCTGCCGCAGGAGCCGGCGCTGCCCTGGAGAACAGGGATTGCACAGAAGGCTGGAGCCCGAAGATGGGTTAACGGAGCGGCTGGGCCTCGAGCGCGGCTCCGGGGAAGCTCCTTGCTGGCTGGCTCCCGCTCCGGGGTGTTGCTCCGGCTGGTGGTTTGGGGCCCAGCTCGGGAGCTGGGGATGCGGCCGCCTGGTGAAGGAGGCAGTCGCGGTGCAAAGAGGAGGGTGCAGGCACGACCAGACCGCAGATTTGGCAGCGGACGCTGCCCGCGGGCACACAGGGCAGCCCCGAGCGGCTCGCAGCGTCGCGGAGCACAGTGACGGCTCCGGCCCGGCTGCGCGCGAGCCAAGGCGCCCGCAGCCCGAGGGCTCGCGTCGGTGCTGGAAACCCTGCCTTGTTGGCTCAGTGTCCCCTTTGATCCCCGGCGGCGCCGACTGCCTCGGGGCTTTCGTTCCCTTTGGTGGTTAGGGGGGTGTCAGCTTCTCGCGGCGCTTTGTGCTCGGGGATGCGCCGGGGCCACCGGTCCCATGCGGATGGGGCCTGCGGAGGGTTCACGTGGGGATTCCAGGCTGTTTATTCTGCTGGGATGGCTCTCTCCAAACAGCTGCTCCAGATGTGGTGGCCACAAAGGCATCTCACATACAACTGGGAGTCTGTTTGAGGGCCTGGAGGGTCCTGGAAGGTGATCTGAATAATTCCAGGCCCAGAGTGCCCAGAAGCCTCCTGTTACGTCCTCCTGGCTTGTGCAGAGCCCGTTTCCCTGTGAAGCCAGAAACTGCGTGTGGGGCAAGAGCAGCTGGTTGCAGCGCTCAGAGCCTTTCGTGTGGGCTCCTGGTCCTCTCCCGTGGGCTGCCCAGCGCCCTGACAGTGAGAGGGGGGAGAGCAGCCCAACCTGCTGGCTCCTGCATCTGGTTCCTATCAGCGATGGTCCTGCGCTGGGGACAGACGGTCATTAACACGGTGTGTACACAGCTCCGTCTCGCGCGCACAAAGGGCCACATTATGCTGCCTGGCAGAGGGCTGCCTGCTGTGGTTTCTTACATAAGGAGGGCGTTTTGTTTGGCCTGCCGGGTTACCTCAGCCTCGCACCGCGCGGGGCTCCCGTTGCAGCGGTTCCTGCGGCGGCAGCAGTTACGTAGCGCGCCGCGAGTCCGGGATGCGATGGCAGCTCTGGGGTCTCCGTGAGCACTCCCTGCATGCTAGTGCAGGGACCAGGGAACAACGACGTTGTGAGCGTGACTCCAGAACGTTGTGATTGCAAACGAGACCCCCCGAAGCACTGGCCGAGGAGGGAGGCGCCTGTCCAGAGGCTGTGTCCGTGCCCTGCCTTAGCTGGGAGCAGAGCCCCAGGCCTCAGCAGTGGGCGTGAGGCAGGCTGAGAGCTAAAACAAACTCAACCACTTGTGTTTGAGTGTTTTTACTATTGTGTTTTTACTATTGAGACCGTAATCCTGCCTGTGTTCAGCTATCGATCGCAACGCCATTGTGTGGAGTTTGTGATCACAGCTCCTGTGGAGCGCTGCGGGTGCTTGGCTGTGTCCCCGTCCTGCGGGGTGATGAAGCCAAGCGGCTTCTACCTGGCTGTGTGAGGACTGTCTTCTTCCTAGCCCAGGAATTGGGTTCCAACCGACGTTCTCAGTGTCTTTTAAACAAAATGTTAGTGTTTTAAGTGTGTGCCTCTCAAAAGCCTTTAAGCTGGACTCGTTAGCAGTGCCTCAGTGCTGGGCAAGTGGCCTAAGCAGTGCTGGGTTTTATCAGCACCCAGTGCCCCCTGCCTCAGGCGGCTGCAGGATGACAGCAGGGATAATAGCTGCCAGCAGCTTGCTGTTTGACAGCTCTGCTTCCCTCCTCGTGGCAGCCAAACACCAGGCTGGCGGCGAGGCAGCCCTCTGTGAATTTACTTGCAGGTCACCAAGGAGCTGCTCAACTGAGGAGCACGTGAGCTTGTACCTGTTTCTGGAGAGCGTGGGATGGGGACGCGCTGCCGCCGGGCACAGCCAGCTTTCAGAGGGCCGACTCCCTTGTTTCAGGTTGTCCTCTACCCAGACCAGAAATGTTTCAGGCTGCTCCCTTGACTTCTGGATAGTTCAGGTCCTCGGCTGACAGCTGCTGAGGTTTGGAAACCCTGTTGAGACCGTCCTGTGTTCTGCCTTCCCCGCTCTGCAGAAAGCCCTGCCGAGAGCAGCACGTCTGCAGCCCTGTGGTCACGGTCAGCGTGTGCTCGTGGCCCTTGGGGCAGAGTCCAGTAGCTTAAATCTTCCGCTGCAGAGGTTTGAGGGCAAGAGGAGTTGTGCAAAGCAGACAGCGGCGATCTGGCGCTTGCAGCATCTCCTTCGCTTGCCTTCCGCGCGCCTGCGTTTGTTCACTTGCCATCCCAGTGTCACAACAGAGGCACTGCATTAATTTCCTAGGGCTTTCTGCGATGATTAATTGAGGCTGAACATTGAATTGGAAGGGAGACCTGTGGGAGTACAAGTGTGGCAGGAGAACATTTTATCTGTCAGCAGCTGTGCACGAGCCTTTCTCTGTTGTAGAATAAAAACTGACAGAGAAGCATGGTGCTTCGCGGAGGTTTTAGGTTTGCCAGGGCATAAACTTTCATGAATGAATTAAGGCAAAGAATGGTTTTCAGTGTAACGGCGTAAAACCAGCCCTCCCTATCGCACCAGCTCCCCTTAGGGGCCACCTCTGAACTGAGGGCCTTGTGGACACGCAATGTTTTTAAGAGGTATCTGTCAGCAATGGGCCGGAGGGCTGCCAAGAAAAATTTCAGCCCCAGCCCAAATTCAAAGACTCCCCTTTAAAGATGTATTAAGAGAAACCAAACAAAAACTACATCAAAAACTCGCAGGGCATAAAACTGACCCTGTGTGAAATCTTATACCGACCCTCCTACTTTCTGGAGGAAATTAGGAATTTATGCGCCAAATTTCGACTGTTTTCAGAATGCAAACTGCTGCAGCACCTCTATAATAGTCTTTATCTAGCAAGCCAAATAAACACTGTGCAGACCTGCTGTCATTCTTTATTTTAAATAAAGGGTGAAATGCTGTAGCTAAGCAATGCTAAGAGGTAGGTTTACTAATCTACCACATGCAGCCCTCTGGATGCTCTTGGTAATAAGGTGATTATTAATTATTCACAGCTTGCTGATCCGTGGGGTAGGCTTGACTGCACAGCTGCAGTCCAAGTGCATGGGAACACAGGCAAGGTTTTCATTCAGAAGCTCTTTGGACATGATTTAAAGTAGCTGAAGATGCCGGTGAGGTCTCCAGCTCCTACTGCATTGCCTGTGCTGCAGCCGTTCTGGTGGGAAGGACGATGCCCCAGAAAGGAGGAAAGGATCAGAATGCCCTCTGGCTGCGTGTGGGTGCACTTTGTGTGTCCGTCGCGAAGGCGAAGGTGGGCCGCGTGTTTCTAAAGGCGCTGGGCTCTTCCATGGGAGCCTGTGTGCAGGAAAGGGCCCTAGCTGCTCTCGCTGCCCCTCGAACACAGGGACGGAGACTGTGGAATTTGTCTGGGTGTCGTGGGATCCGTGCTGCTGGTTCCAGCTGAGCAGCTCTGCTTCACCCCGTGCTTTGCCGGAGTACAGGAGTTATTGTGTCTGCCTCGGCTTTCCCTGTGCTTTTTCCAGACGAGCTTGGATGTGCATGGGTTTCGGTGGTGTCCCCAACATCTGCAGATGTCAGAGCAATGCATTTTATGGAGAGACTCCTGCGATACCCCGTGGTGGAAGCATGACGATCTGGCTGGCATCAGGAGAGCAGTTGTGGTTTGTTAGCTCTGCTTGGCCACGGCTGAAGAGCAGGCGTGAGGTGTCTGTCAGCTCCCGCCGGGTCGCACGGCCTGCAGCCAGCCAGGCTGCTGCTGCTGCCTCGCACGGCTGCTGCGGAGCAGGGAAGAGGCCTCGGGACACTTGTGTCCTCTGTCGCAGGAGGGTGCCCCTTAGTCAGAGCTCTGGGCCACCAGTGCCCTGGAGAGGCCCCGTGCTCCATCGTGCTCTGCTGAGGCTGGTGGTGTGCCAAGTGGGCACATCGAAGAGCGAGTTAGCAGAGAGGTGGGATGGGACGTGTCCGCCTCGCGAGGGCCCTGCAGGACCTGTGATCCTGCCTCTCTCCGTGTTGCTGGTGGTTGCGTCTCCCTGCAGTTTCCTCCATTCATCCACTGCTTCCCTTGTTGTGCTGGCACCAAGCGGTGCTCTTGGCTTCCCCATCCTAGCACGGGCTGGGGTGCTGGTGGGTGCAGGGTGGGTGTCCCCGTCCGCTGCGTGTGAAGAGGGCTCTCACCTGCAGGGCTGTAGGTCTCCTCTCTGTGCGACTTTCACATCTAACCTCCTCTGAGGATGATGTGGTCGAGTCCCCTCCACCCCTGCCATGATTTGATCTCTGTGTCAGCATCAGCCCTCTCATGATTTTCTCTTTCAGATGGGAACAGCGAGAGCTACCTAATGGGAGAGTCTACTATGTAGACCACAACAACAAGACAACCACCTGGGAGAGACCCCTTCCTCCAGGGTAAGGTGCTCAGGGGCAGCCGGTGTCTCGGGTACCAAGATAACTTGTGGTGGCTGCACAGGAGTCTGCAAAGAAGGGGGGCAGTCGGTGGTGGGAAGGGGTGCAGGAAGGTCCTTTCCTTCCTAAAAGGAAACGAGGTGACATGATCTGGTGTTTACTGCAGTAGCTGCTTGTGGGCAGAACAGAGGAGTCGGCTTTTGGGACAAGAGCCTGCAAAGCCTCCCTGAGGACCAGGAGAAGGGGATGGGCCCCATGTTGCCTAGAAAAGCAGACACCGTAGCTGAGGAGTAACTTGAGAGGCTGAGTTGCTGGCGAGCAAAAGCAGACTTGCTCAGTGTTTCCCAAACCTGGAGCTGGACCTTGCCCTCCTCGGAGAGGTCCCAAGTTCTTAGCACGCTGCCCACTAGAAGATGCTGCTAGCTTAGCTCTGAGATGTGCTGCAAGAGCTCTGCAGGGCTCGTGTCCAGGAGGGACGTGCTTTCCTTTGCACAAGTTAACAATCTTCAGGCCATGAAGACTGCACACACCTCTCTGGGCCCCTGCATTTTCCAGAAGCTTGTTGAATTCTCACCTTCTCTTTGTGCTCCTGAAAACAGAACCAAATCAATATTGTTCTCTAGGTGGTGTTTGTCTGAGCTTGGAGTGACTGCATTAAAAGTGGTGTGCTGTATGAACATGAAATAAAAGGTTGTTTTCCTCCCTGGGAGCCTTTGCGTTCCTCTGGTCACAGACTCCTTTCAGCTAAACTGTGACCTTTTCAGTCTTCCCTGCCACCTTCTCATCCTCTAGTAGTTTAAAGTCTGCCCATCTGTTAATAGAGGGAGGCTGAAAGGTAGGTTTGGGTGTACCCCATGTGTGTTCCTCCTAACACCATCTTGGCATCTCCTGTCTCAGAGCTCAGCCACACGACTTCATGTGACGTTACAGGAAGCTAGTAAGTAGTAGTACAGCTAGTACAGAAGGTCTTAGTGGTGGATCTCATTTTATCCACCTTCAGGTATAATATTGATAGTTATATTGGACCTGGAGTCCTCATGTTAAAGTGCTGTGCTCAGTCCAGTGAGAGGGGCCAAACGTGAGTGCCTGAAATTTGCCCTTAGTGTCAGAGTGACAAGAAAAGTCACAGTCTCCATGACTAAACTTGTAGGCCCAACAGCTCTTACTGTCTCCTTCCCTTGAAGGACAATGAGCTGTTTTTTTTTTTGTTTGTTTGTTTTTTTTTGTTTTGTTTTGTTTTGTTTTTTAACCTGTATTTCTAGAGACCAGTGAGCCCTGGAAGTGTTTCTGGAAGCCAGAACTCAGTCTGTCGTGAATTCTGAGCCACTGTATGGTGAGCACGACTGGAGCTTGGCAGCTGGTTGAATTCACAACGCAGTGCTCCTCTAAATTGTGTTTTCAACACGTTCTTGGGCAGCAGCTGAACATTCTCAAGCTGCTGCTCCTTGTCCAGGGCCCCCAGAGCCAACTCTCAGCAAAAGAAATAGGAGATTCCTCCATGTTAGGCCATGGTTCTGTGACTTCTGCCATGCCTCTTTAGCTGTGCAAGGTTTCGTTCTCCTGGCACCCATACCTTCACATCAGTGTTGAGTTGCCACATGACGGCTGCAGACACCTGCCACCAGAGCGGTCTGTGCTGCTTCTTTCATCGGCTGGAGCGGGCTGTTCCGGAGGGGCTCCGGGCCTCGTTCCCATGCAACGTGCCTTCCTCAGCCGCTGGCTGTGGGGAGGAGATTCAAGGTGGTCCCCTTGGGAGGAGGCTTTACCTGTGGGTAAGCCAGCCTCATCCTTCCAGCAGCACTGATGGATGTGGTGGTCTGGGGGAGGACTTGGGTTGGGTTGGTTGTCACCGGAGGGAGCATCACTTGTCATGTCTCTCCTGTGTTACTGCTGTGGTGCTTAAGGAGTGTCTCTGTGCTGGACATGTCCCAGGGACTCAGCTCTGGAGCTATGGCTGATCTGAGGGGTCGCTGAGGGAGGCTGGTTGAGCCCCCTGATCAGACTCTGATCAGCAGAAGGGATGTTGGAGGAAACAGGGTGCCGGGGTGCACCTGAGTCTGGTCCGGCTCCCTTGGAGTGGGAGATGATCAAGCCCTGAGGCAGTGAAACAAGGGCTAGGAGAACACATCGAGCCCCTTTCCTCAGGGGGGACACAGGGTGACATTTCCTTCCCGTGGTGTTTCCAGGTGGGAGAAGCGTGTGGATCCTCGAGGAAGGTATTACTATGTCGACCACAACACCAGGACCACCACATGGCAGCGCCCCACAGCCGAGTACGTGAGGAACTACGAGCAGTGGCAGTCCCAGCGCAACCAGCTCCAGGGAGCCATGCAGCAGTTCAGCCAAAGGTTCTTGTACCAGGTGAGGGCCTGCGGCTCAGGTAGTGCTGGCCCAGAGGGTCTCACCCAACCACGCCTGGCAGAGGGGGAGTGCAGGGATGAGCACCGCTGGGCTGTGAGCAGCCCTGCGTGGAGGCACCACTTGCAGCTGGCCCATGCACAGGCAGCCCGTGGGCTCGGGCAGCTCAGCAGAACAGTGAGCCTGGACACAAGTTCCCAGAGGTTCCTCTGCTGAGTGTGGAGAACCCTGTGGAAATAGCTGGCTCTTATAAAAACAGCCAGTGCAGCCTTGAAAGGCGGTGGGAGGTGTCCTCAGCATCCTGTCCCCGATGTGTCACTTCCTTGCTCGTGTGGCAAGGAACAGGCTTGCTCGCTTGGCTCCCAGCAGCCGAGCCGGGCTAGTCCCGGCAGCGCAGCGGCCGCCTTCACAGCCCCAGGCACTGCAGGGTGCAGGCGCTGGCACCGTGAGCGCTGCAGCAAGAGCCGGGGAAGCAGAGCGCCCGGGAGCGAGCGCTGCCGGGCCCTGAGAGCTCCCTGCTGCTGAAGGTCCCCAGCTTCCTGCTCCCTGGGGAAAGGGTCTCTCACTGGCCCCAGCGAGCAGCAGCCCTGAGCACTGTGGTTTCGGAGCACCCTGGTGCTCCCTGGTCCTGGCCTTGCTGCTGAGGCAGGACCTGGCTTTGGAGGTGGGAAGCATCCTCTGGTACCAAGTGCACGGTGGCAGCTCCGTGAGCAGTCTGGAGCGTCCTGCCACCCAGCTCCGAGTGTTTGGGTGCTCCCCCACAAGCAGCCCATGCTGCACGGGAGGTTGCAGCCTGTATCAAGCAAGGCTCCTGCGTGGAGAGCTGCGGCGGGGCAGGAGCAAAGGGAAGGGGAGCAGCAGGGCAAGGGGCTTCTGCCCTCGCCGAGGGGAGGAGGTTGCCGTGCCCCAGCAGGATGCAGAAACGCTGCTGCCGCTCGCGCAGGCTCCTGCGGCGTGCTCGAGGTGAGCTCCCCAAGCAGGACACGGGACTCGTGAGCGGAGCCTGGCTCTGCTGCCACTTGGCAAAGCAAAGCTGGGCTGCTCGGAGCCCTCTCCCGCTCCTGCCCCTCTCCTCGGAGACTCCACCGGGATACTGCATCCCGAGGGTGCAGTCCTTTCCTTTGGCATCTGTGAGGCCGCGGCGCTCCGGAGGGGCTTGCGCCGGCGCGGAGCTGCTCCGAGCTGGCTGCTCGCGAGCGTCTCGGCAAGCGCTGGCCTGGAGCCACTCCAGCGCCGCGCAGCTCGCCCTGGCAGAGCGCGCAGGGAGGGACGCACGCTCCAAATTTAGCCTGATGAAATGATTGTACTTTTGTTTCAAGCTTTCCGCTGCCAGCAGTGATGGTTCCTGCTCTGCCTCCTTCCCTACGGGGCTTCGTGCCCAGCTTTGCCCCTCTCTGCCTACCTGGACCCCTGTGCTGCGCCTGCTGCGGGCTCCCGGCTGGCACACGCAGGCAGCAGGCTCGGCTGCCATGCCCCTCAGACCAGGGCACATTGCCGTCCTGGTGCTGCCCCGCACCACGTCCCACAGGGCCAGCTCCCTGTGGTGCTGCCCGCGCGCGTTTGTTTTAATTAGATATTTGTGGGTGGCTGCGAGGTGAGAGCTCTGGATACGACTCAGCTGCGTTGCCGCCAGCCCGTCCGGGACCGCAACGGAGGCCGTGCAGAGCCCGGGTGTCCGTCCGGCTGCGGTGCCTCATGGGCGCTGTCGGCTCACGACTCGGGAGCAGGGCAAGGAGCTCAGGGGAGCCCAGGCAGCCCAGGGCTCTGCACCCTGCCCCTGGGCGCTGCTCGAGGGCGCAGGTTTGGGGATGCTGCAGCTGCCCCAGCTCGGGCAGCAGCAGGGAGGGCCGGGCCGGGGGCAGCATTCCTGGGCTGGCTCCAGCTCCATGTACGTTGCTGGCCTGGAGCAGGACGTGCGGGAGCACAGCCCCTCTCCCGCAGCCCCCCTTGAGGCAGTGTGACGCGAAGCCCTTTGGTCTCACCGTGTTTCCCTGCAAGCACCAGGAGCTTCACAGTGCCCTTCTCCCCTTCACCCAGCTGCTGGGTGCCCCCAGGGCCCTGCCAGGAGCCGAGCACCCCCTCCCCAGCCTGGGGCATCCCTGGTTCAGGCTGGGTGACAGGGCAGGAATAAAGGTGCTTTGTGCAGCAGCCCCCAACCTGCCGGGGGCGGCGGCGGCGGGGCCGGAGCCGCCCGTCTGCGTGCATGAATGTGCCCTCAGTGCGAGCGCATCCCGCGGCGCGGTGCCCCGCGCGGGGAGGGGGGCCGCGGCCCGCCAGGAAGCGCTGGGCGTGGACAGGGCTTGTGGGAATGATTTCATTGGAAAGGCCTGCGATATTTTTTCCCTCTTGTGTGTGGTTCTTGGAGGAGGCTGGAGGTGTAACCGGTGGGGAGAGTCGCCTTGGCCAGCGGGCGCCGAGCAGCCGCACACATCTGGGCTGCGCGGCTGCTGCTCGCGCGCGGGCACAGCCCCTGCCCCGCCGCCCCCTGCGCTGTTTAGTTTATGATTTTTTTTTCCTTTTTTTTTTTTTTTTTTTTTTTTTTTTTACACCCCCAAGTGCAAGTTTTTTTCCTAGCTCTTTGGGAGCAGCTCCCCTGTGCTGCGAGCTGTGGGCCAAGAGGAGGCAAGTGGAAAGCTGGGGCTGTGCGGCTCCCCGGCACCCCCGTGCTCTGCTTTTTCCGGGCGCCTCTGCCTTGTTTTTCATTTTGTACTTTTCTGCCATCTCTGTTGTCTCTAGTCGTCCGGCGCCCCGTCTGACAATGACCCGCTTGGGCCCCTTCCTCCCGGCTGGGGTAAGTACTGAGCCCGTCCCGCGTTGCTCGCGTCCCGTGCGCGTTCCTGGGTGCCACAGCGGGGGGACACTGTCCCCTGGGGCCCTGCTGCCTGCATGGTCACATCTGTCCTTGGTCAGCGCTTCCTCAGGTTTAAAATCCAGCTTTTCCCCACTTTTTCTCCTTTTCCCCCTTTTCCTGGAGGGGTTCCCAGGGCTCACTTGCAGCCCCAGAGCGCAGAGGTGTTTGTGGTCGTTCGCGGGGCTGGACAGCAGGCCGGGCATCCCGCGTGTCCCTTCTGCCCTGGGGCTGGTGCGGGGCCGTCCCACTGCGCGGAGCCCTCGTGCCGCGCTCTCCGCTGGGCTCTGCCCTGCCTCCTGCTCCGGTGCGTCCCGGGGGAGCCATGGCATCGTGGTGCTCCAGGGAGGAGCCACGGGACGGGCAGGTATCCAGCGGGGCCGAGGGGTGCTGTGCCCTGGCAAAAGGTCCCGGCGCTGGCCCTGGAGCATCCCCAGAGACGGAGGCGCCGGCTGGAGCCGATGCTTGCGGCCTGCCTGTCCTCCTTCCCTGGAAGCGGCTGTGCCAGAGACCTGCCTGGCTCTGCTGGGCACCTTCTCCCGCTCTGGAGCAGCAGCCGGGGGTGCCTGGGGCCGAGGTGCTCGCACAGGATTGCCGAAGGCATCGCTTGCAAGCGGGGAGGGAGCGCGAGTGTGAGTGGGGACCAGGGCATCATTGGCGCCTCTTGAGTGTCCCGCAGCTCTGCCCCACGCTGGCAGTGCCCTGCGTGCCGGGCTGACAGGCACGAGTCTCCTGTGCGCCATTCCCGTGGGGCTGGTGGTGGCCGCGCAGCAGCGCTGGCGCTCGCCCGCGCTCTCCCCCTTGGCTGCTCACAGCAGCGGGCGGCAGTGGGATGGGGCGCGTGTGCGGGGTGTCCCTGCCGGAGCAGGGCTGTGCGTGGCAACAACGCAGGCGCGCAGCGAGGAGGCGGCACGGGGCACACGTGCTGCTGGGGCTGCGAGCACGTGCGTGTGCGCCCTGGTGCGAGGCAGAGCTACTGGAGCTGTGCAGAGGACGAGGAGGAGGAGGGAGGCCAGGCGTGTGGGTGCTTGGAGCGCGGGATGCGGGTCTGGAATGTTCTGTCCGGCTCCGGGGGGGTGCCCGAAGCGCAAGCCTGGGCACGCTTGGGACAGTGTTCCTAGGGTCGCGGAGCCGGGCACGGGCTGTGCGCCCGCCGGGGCGCCTGGCCACGCAGCTCGCAGCACTCGTAGCCCTGCGCCTGCTAATGCTCTCTGCCTTCCCCCCTAGAGAAGAGACAGGACAACGGGCGAGTGTATTACGTGAACCACAACACGCGGACCACGCAGTGGGAAGACCCTCGCACGCAGGGGTAGGTAGGAGGCTCGTGGGGGCAGCCGGGGGCTGAGTCTGGGCAGGCCTGCAGCGCCGGGCTGCGGGAGCGAGCGCACCAGGCCCGGGTGGGCTTGGAGCCTGCGGGAGCCGGAACCTGAAGTGCTGGCCTTGCGGGGATGCCAGGCTGTGGGAGCAGAGCAGAGCCATCAGGAAGGGCCTGCGCCTGGGCAGCCAGCGGTGGGGAGGGCTCAGGGTGCTCGGGTGGGAAGAGCTGCCTCCTCATCACTCCTGCCAGGGCCTCGCTGAGGCTCCCCGAGAGCTTTGGCCCTGCAGAGCCCTGCTGCGGTGAGGAGGTGGCCAGGTCCCCACTCGGGCACCTCTCCCACGGGTGGAGAGCAGGGCCCTGGCCTGGCTGCTGATGAGGGCCAGGCCTGCAGCCTGGCAGGGCTCGTGTGCCCGGGCACAGGACTACAAGGCTGAGCTAGACCCACCGGGCAGGAGGCCCTGGGCAGGGTGAGCTGGCAGGGCACCGCAGGCCCTGACTGCACACTCAGCCTCCTTGTGCCACGCAGGATGATCCAGGAACCGCCCCTGCCGCCCGGCTGGGAGATGAAGTACACGAACGAGGGCGTGCGGTACTTCGTGGACCACAACACCCGCACCACCACCTTCAAAGACCCCCGGCCCGGATTTGAGTCTGGGTAAGGCCTTTGGCGCCAGCCCTGTGTTGACAGTGGTAGGGTGGCACGGGGCGCTCCCACTTGCCCAGCTTGTTTGCAGCTCTGCTGCGTGTGGTCGCGCGCAGGCTAGAGGGATGGGCCTGTTTGCCACCAGGACCTTGGGCTCGGGAGGTTCCGTGTGGCTCTGCTAAGGGAGAGCTCCCTGCGTGCGGCCGAGGGGCCCCGACCTAGGGACGGTGTCGGCCCCGCTCCGGGCTGGCGGGCGCAGAGCGCGGGCGGTGGTGCCTGGCTGGGAGCTGAGGCCGGCAGCTCCCGTCACAGCGCGTGGGGATGTGGGGCTGCGTCCTGAGCCAAGGCGCGCGGTGCCTTTGCAGGAGCAAGCAAGGCGGCTCCCCTGGCGCGTATGACCGGAGCTTTCGCTGGAAGTACCACCAGTTCCGCTTCCTCTGCCACGTGAGTAACGTGCCCTGCAGGAGGGCCAGGGGCCCCGGCAGGTCCATGGAGAGGCGGACCCGGCGGGCAGGCTGGGGAGAGCAGAGCCGCCGCGCCGCCCACCAGAGCCCTGTGTGTGCCTTGCAGTCCAACGCGCTGCCCAGCCACGTGAAGATCAGCGTCTCGCGGCAGACGCTCTTCGAGGACTCCTTCCAGCAGGTGAGGAGGGGCCGGCGGGGGCACTGAGCGGGCCCCTCGCAGCACGGCCTCACGCTTCCCTTCGCTTGCCTCTAGATCATGAACATGAAGCCGTACGACCTGCGGCGCCGCCTGTACATCATCATGCGAGGAGAGGAAGGCCTGGACTACGGCGGCATTGCCAGGTGAGCGCCGGCGTGGCGGGACAGGGCCGGCCCGGCCAGCGCGGTGCCCCTCAGCGCTGTGTGAGGCGGCCGGACGCCGGCTTGCTGCTGCCCCGGCCCGGCGCGGGCCCCACGCTGCGTCTCCCTGTGTCCTGCCAGTGGTTTTACCCTATGGTAGGTTACGTCATGCTGTTCTACCACAGGGTAGAACCACGGACAGGATACCGGGGCTGCCTCTGCACCGAAGGACTCATCGCCTGTGCTGCCGGGGCGTGAAGCTGGGTCGGGCCGTGGGGAGCTGGGGTGTAGGGAGCCCTGCAGGAGCCCTGTGCGTGTGAGGAGAGCGCAGGGCGGCTCTGCGCAGCGTGGGGTGCGCGTGGGCTGCGGGTGGTACCGGTACGGGGGGTCCCTGCTGCGCTCGCACCCTCCCTCAGCGCCCCCGTAACCACGCTGGATTCGCAGGAGGAGGATGGCAGGAGGCAGTGGCTGTCCTTGCTCAGCCCAAACCCTAGACATTAACCCGGCACCTGGAGGAGATGGGCTTGGTCTGTACGGGCTGCTGCAGGGGGACGTCTGACATTGAGTAGGAGGAAAAATCCTCCGACTGTGAGGGTGCCGAGCACGGGGCCCGGCTGCCCGAAGAGCTGGAGCCCCGTCCCTGGGGGTGTTCGAAGGCTGCCTGGGCAGGGTCCTGTGCACCGCGCTCTAGGTGACCCTGCTCGAGCAGGGCTTGCGCTAGAGGGTCTCAGGGCTCCCTGCCGACCCCAGCCGTGTCAGGGACGTGCTCGGGCATCCTCGCTGGGGCGCCCCGTCTCCTTGTGGCGGGAGCCTCTCAGCACCGCGCCGGCCTCCTCCTGCCGCAGGGAGTGGTTCTTCCTGCTGTCCCACGAGGTGCTCAACCCCATGTACTGCCTCTTCGAGTACGCCGGCAAGAACAACTACTGCCTGCAGATCAACCCTGCCTCCTCCATCAACCCCGACCACCTCACCTACTTCCGCTTCATCGGCCGCTTCATCGCCATGGTAGGGGCAGGAGCCTTGGCGTGAGGGAGCTGGGGCCGGGCAGTGGGCAGGGCCCCTGGCTGCTCTGTGGGGCCGGGCCCTGCTCCTGGCTGCCTGGAGCCCTTCTGGGTGCTGCTGGAGCCGGGGGTGCCCCGGGGGCTGGGAAGGGGCTGGCAGTGGGGCTGGGAGGGGAGCTGCGCTCCCCGCGTCGGGCCGTGCGGCAGGGAGGGCTGCAGGTCCTTGGCTGCCGCCCCAGGTGCTGTCGGGTCTGCAGCCTCGAGGACTATTTATAACCCGGCAGTGTGAGATTTTCCAGCTGCCCGCGCCCCAGAGCGGCTCCTCCCGCTCGTCTCGCCCTGCCCGCGGCTGGCGCCCCGGGCCCACGGGCTGGGGGACAGCGAGCAGCGCCCGGGGCAGCCCCCGGCCCCTCGGGGCTGTGCGGGAGGCCAGTGCGCGCTGGGGGTCCCCGCCTGTCCTGCCCTGCCCCGCGCCTCGCAGGATACCAATAAAACCCCAGACTATTACTCACCGCTGGGCCGTTCTAGACAAGCGTCTGCATTATTTTTGGCTGCCTTTGCCCTGGGGCTCCTGGAAGCCAGGGATTCGGGGAAGCCGCAGCAGAGCTGTGTTTAAACAAGTGCTCTTAATCGAGCTGCGCGAGGAGTGGGCAGCACCGTGGAATTCACGGCGGGGAGGGAAGGGGCTGTGCACCCCGCTCCCCCCGAGAACTGCAGGGGCCCTGGCCCGAGGAGGGCAGCAGGACCCCTTCCTCCTGGTGCTGTTTGGTAGCTGGGAGGCTCTTGGAGGGCTCGCAGGAGCCGGCCGAGCGATTCCCCGTGGGCAGGGTGTTGCTCTGGGGCATCGACCCTGCCTCGTGCGGGGCTGTGTGGGCGCTGGCCCCGGGTGACGGGTGTGCCCTGCGCAGGCGCTCTACCACGGCAAGTTCATCGACACGGGCTTCACGCTGCCCTTCTACAAGCGGATGCTGAACAAGCGCCCCACGCTGAAGGACCTGGAATCCATCGACCCCGAGTTCTACAACTCCATTGTCTGGACCAAGTCAGTGGCCTGTGTCCCCCCGGCCCGGGCCCTGAGGCTCCCGCATGGAGACGGTGCCCTCTCCTTGGAGCCTCGCGCCCCCAGGAGCGCTAAAGTCTCGGCGTCCTCCCACAGGGAGAACAGCCTGGAGGAGTGCGGCCTGGAGCTGTACTTCATCCAGGACATGGAGATCCTGGGCAAGGTGACCACCCACGAGCTGAAGGAGGGCGGGGAGAGCATCCGGGTGACGGAGGAGAACAAGGAGGAGTACATCATGTGAGTGCGGGTCCCCGTGCCCCGTCACCGGCCGCAGGGCAGTCCCGCTGCACAGACGTGGGGCTGGGGACGTGGCCGCTTCCTGGGGCTACGTGGCCTGTGACGAGTGCGGGCTGGCGCAGTCGGCACCGCTGCGGTCTGGCTGTGGCTGCCTGGGCCGGTGCCAGCGCCCGCAGGAGGAGCTCTCGGGGCTCTCTGGCCTCGGGGGGCTACCAGCTTCTTGCTCCTGCTCCCAGTGAGCTCCAGCCGGGGAATGTCACTTGTCTCCCTCACCCAAACGCCCTCCACTGCCCTGTCCCCAGTGCTCTCCACTTACGTGTCCTTGTGCTGCTCGTGGCTTTGGCAGGGGAAAGAGAAACCCACTGGTGGGAATGGAGGGGAACCCTTGCAGGGGGCAGGTCTCCCCTTCTCACCCCCCCGTGTCCCCTGTGTGGTCCCCTGGCCTCCCATGGCAGGAGCTGGGGCTGGCGGTGGCGGCTCCCGCCAGGCCCGCGGCCCCTGCCCACCGCACTGCCCCTCGCCAGGCTGCTCACGGACTGGCGCTTCACGCGCGGCGTGGAGGAGCAGACCAAGGCCTTCCTGGACGGCTTCAACGAGGTGGTGCCGCTCGAGTGGCTGCGCTACTTCGACGAGAAGGAGCTGGAGGTGAGCGGCTGGCGCGGGCCGGGCGGCGGCACCGCTGCGCCCTGGCCAGGACACAGTGGCCGGGCGCAGCCTGAGCTGCGGCCCCGGCTCACGGTTCTCTTGTGTCACCCGCCGTCGCTGTCCCCAGCTGATGCTGTGCGGCATGCAGGAGATCGACATGAGCGACTGGCAGAAGAACACCATCTACCGGCACTACACCAAGAACAGCAAGCAGATCCAGTGGTTCTGGCAGGTGAGCCCTAACCCGCCTGGGCACCACCCGGCGTCCCCGGCCCGGGACGAGCCCCCAGCGGGCCAGGCTGGGGGCTCGGGGCCGCAGGGGATCCCACCTCAGTCCCGCGCTCTTGTTGCAGGTGGTCAAGGAAATGGACAATGAGAAGCGGATCCGCCTGCTGCAGTTCGTGACGGGGACCTGCCGCCTGCCCGTCGGAGGCTTCGCGGAGCTCATCGGTGGGTATTCCTGGCTCCCCGGCCCTCCAGGCGCTTCCACCCTGTGGAGCAGCGTAGCTGGGAGGTCCGAGCTGCAAGCAGGGACGTGCAGGGATTTAGTTGAGTATCGAACAGCATTAAGAGAAATTCCTCACGTCCCTGCAGTTCATGTTGTGAGCCCATTTTCTTGTCTTTTTTGCATGGGATGGGATTTTGAGTCTGTTCTGATTTTTGTGTGACGGAACCCATTTTCCAGAAAACCACACAGCGCTGCTCTGCTGCCGTCCTGTAATTTGCTGCTCCCTGGGTTCTGTACCAGCCTTTCCATCGTTTTCCTGGAATCGATGTCAAGCTAACCCACGAGCCCAGCCTGTCAGTTTATTCTTATTGGCACATCAGCTTTTTTCCAGGGCCCTGGAGCTTCTCCAGCATTCACAATTTGTTAAAAAGCAACCTCTGTGACTCAGAGTTCCTGAGCGAGTTCTGAAACTCTTGGACGGGCTTGCTCAGCACTGCTGATCTGCAGATAACACGTTCGAGCACTTGCTGTTTAATGTCGGGCTCCAAAGACGCTCTGTTATCACAGTATGGGGTGAACAGATTTTTCAGCTTTTCCCCCTTTTTGGTGCCGTCTCTGTGCAGAAGGGCTCAGAGCAGTCGCTGTTAGTTCCGATAGCAGTTTGTGCCTGTGGGGGCCGCGGGTCGCTCCTGGGCTGAGCTCCGCGCTCTCCCTTCGCAGGCAGCAACGGCCCCCAGAAGTTCTGCATCGACAAGGTCGGCAAGGAGACGTGGCTGCCGCGGAGCCACACCTGGTGAGTGCTCTGCCCTGTGGCCGGTGCCGTCTGCCCCGTCCTGCTGGCCCGAGCGGCCCCGGCCTCGCGCCGGCGCCCCCGGCCGCAGTCCCGGAGCAGCCTCCGGCAGCCGGAGCCTCTGGGTGCAGGGGACCCTGGCAGCGGGACCCCCATCCCAGCGAGGATCTCACGGCCTCGCTGTCTCCCCAGCTTTAACCGCCTGGATCTCCCACCCTACAAGAGCTACGAGCAGCTGAAGGAGAAGTTGCTCTACGCCATCGAGGAGACAGAGGGCTTTGGCCAGGAGTGATGGCCCCGCTGCTTCCCTGGCAGCTCAGGCTGCGCCTGGCCCGGAGAGGCCTTGGAGTGTGTCGGGCCGTCCCCTCCGCCATGAGCTCGCAGGCTGGGAAAACGCCTCCACCGCTCCCTGCACCTCCAGGGCAGGATGGGGAGAGGGGGACTGGGAGGTGGGAAAGGGGGGATCACAGGGCATTGCTTTGGCTGCCTCTGGCACAACCCTGGACCCTCACCTAACCTGGGCTGATCCATGCACAGGGAGCGCGTCCTTCCTGCCTGGAGCAGGGCGGGAAGCGCTGCAGGAGTGGGGCAGCAGCTGTCCTACCCCCCAGCGACCGGCCGTAAATGGGCTCTGGGTAACAACCAGCAACTGAGACATTGGAGCCCAACCTAGGCTGGTTTGCTGCAGTCTGTTTCCCCCTCCCTGCGCTGTCCCTGGGCCCCAGCCCTCGGCGAGCGGCTTGGAGGAACAGCTGGGGGGGCCCCAGGCCCGGTGCCTGCCCTGACTTCTGCACTGGGGCCAGAGCAGCAGCTTTGCCAGGAGCGCCTGACGCTGGACTCGGCCCGGGCTCTTCCTCGGTGCATTTCAGCTGTGATCAGTTTTAAGTACCAGTTTTTATTTGCCTAGATATTTTTGCTCTTTGGGATCAGCACCGCTGGGAGGGAGAAGGGGAGCAGGACCTGTCCCCTTTGCAGCCCCCCCCAGGGCTGTGCCTAGGGGCAGCCTGTGCTGGGGACTGTGCGGGGCCGCTCGGTCCCCCCCGGGGCTGGGGACTGGCTCCGGGTCCTGCCGCCGCTGTCTGTGTGCGGGATGCGCCCGTGGGACAGCCCTGTACAGGGCCGAGGCGCTGGCTGCAGTGCCCGCAGCGTTTTGTACCGCTCCCTCCCGCCTCGGTGCTGCCTCCGGCTCGTGCAATAAAGGACAAGCGGCTGCTGCGCTCGGCGTCCCGGGGCTGCGGCGCGGGCTGGGCCGGGGGGCTGTGCTGGGGGGGGGGGCGGGTGCAGGAGGCCCCCAGGCAGCAGCAGCAGCCTCTGGCCCCACGGATGGCAGGAGCCAAGCCCTGGGAGCAGCCGTGGAGCTGCTGGAAGTGGGAGGGATGGAGAGGATGCGGAGCCCGGCTCCTGCACACAGGACGGACCCGGGCTTGTGGTGCCATGGAGGAGGCTCGGGATGCTGGGATGGGATGTGGCTCACGGTGCTTTTGCAAAAAGGGGGAAGTGGGGCCCAAGTGTGCTGGGAATGCAGCTCGGGGCTGCTGGAGCAGAGCTGCAGCTCAGCATGCTCAGGATGCAGCGCAGCAGGGTCAGGATAAAGGTGCTGGGTGGGGATGGAGCAGTTGGAGGCTGCCGGGGGGTGCAGGGCCCTGGGATCCTGCTGTGGCTCCAGTGTGCAGGGTGACAGGGCTTTGGGGTGCTGGGTTGGACACAGCTCAGGGTAGGGGCAGGCAGCGCCTGGTGCCCTGTGGAGGGGACAAGGCCTGGGGTGCTGGGTGGGCTGGAGCCTGGGGCTCCCTGCTGCAACCCTGCAACTTATTTATTATTCTTCCCCTCTGCTGCTCATGGATTTGGGGGGGTGGCAGCTTTGGCTGCCCTGTCATCCCCCTGGACTAACCCCCATGCCCGGGAGCCTCAGCCAGGCCCAGCCTGGGCTCAGTGCCAAGAGCCCCTGGGGGCCCCCACGGCAGAAGGGGCCTCCCTGGACGAGCAGAGCGGGGAGGGTGAGGGACTCCCCCCACTCCTTGAAGGGAATTTATTCCTGGAGCCCCAGCTACCCACCTTGCAGCCTGGCCACAGGAGGGAGCCTCAGGGGAAAGACCCCGCTCACGGGAAGGACACGGCTGGTCCCACAGATGGGAAGGACATGGCTCGTCCCAGCCTCACGGTGCCCTGCACACCCAGCCATCCCTGCCCCTGCTCTCACACCTGCCCAGGGCAGAGGCTCTACCTGCCTTTCTCTTCTTTTTCGTGTCAGATAACAAAATAGCAACCTGTTTGCATCCCTGATGATGCAGAAAGGATGGCACCAAGCACAGTAGCTGGAACTGCACCTCGCTGGAAGGAAGAGCAACAGTAGCACCATCCCTCCGCTGCAGCGCTCCCGAGTGCTTCTAGGGCCCTTTGGAGCTTTCTTGGCTCAAAAAGGGATAGCAACAAAAGCAGATCTCCTACAGCAGTGAAAACTCCAGGACAGGTAACACAAGGCCTGACATTTAACACACTCTGCAGTAGCACTCCCTTGTTCAGCTGTTGGCCTCCACCCCAGAAGAATGAGAAGACCACTAGGGTTAGGGAGGAAGAACACAGCACTGAATTAATAGTAATAATTATTATTATTAAAAAATTCATCCTGCTTTTACTCCTTTCTTGTTCAGTACAAGGATCACACTGCTCGAGGAAGGCTGTATGCCGTGTACAGAGCCATCCATCATGAGCTCACAAATGAAGTACCAAAAATAGGGGCAAGCAAAGCACTTGGATCGTTTCAACAAGGAAAAACAATCCAGACCAGTGATTAGTTTACAAGATTTTTAATTTACAAATAAAAAAATCCCTACATTTCACTTTTTCTCTTTTTTCTCTTCTTTCTTAACATCACTCTTCTCCTTTTCTTTTTCCTTCTCATCTTTCCTCTCCTTTTTGCTTTCTTCTTTTTCCTGTCCTTCTTTCTTCTCTGCATCCCTATTTGCAATCTTGTTGTTAATGAGGTTGTGCAGGGCAACCACAGAACGGATGAGAGATGCCAGATAAACTACCACCATCTGGTCGTTGGTCTTCAGGTAAAAGGCCTTGACAAACTCTTGCAGGTTGACATCTGGTAGCAGGTTGAAGACATCCTGGAGGTGGTAGATGATCTGGTGGTTGATGGGCAGCTTGCCCATGGCTACTTTCTCTAAGTAGCTCCTGATGTCCAGAAGCTTGGAGTTCAGTCCCTTCAAACCGTGGACCTGATTTGTGATCCGCTGGGACAGGGTGCCCACTGTTGTATCCTTGATGTCTCTGAAACATCCAACGACAGAAACAATCAGCCATGGAATGTCACTTTGCACATTCATTAACAGCTTTTTTTCCAGCTTAAAAACAGAGCTACTATTTGAAGCACAAATGAGGTGCAATTAAACTGAATGCTTCAAGTCAAAGACTGAGAACAAACTGATTTCCATTTGTGCACTCAGAAAGCAGACCTACTAGGTCACTGTTTTGTTGTGTGCTGTTGCGTGCATGGGTTCTCTTTGGAATAATAGTAATACCAGTATGATGGAGAGAAATAAAACACCAGAATTTTTGCCAGGTGAAACAGCTGTGCAGTTCGTACAAGGTGACTACTCTTTTTCTGGACAGGAAATCTTTGCTAATGTTAGCTACCGCTGATATAACTGCAATACTTCATTTATTACTGCTCTGAGAGATGTACAGTGGCTTGGAGCAGGCCCAAGCAATGCAATCTGCTGAAGCTTTGACACAGATTAATTGCAATTTTATCATCTGATGAAATTTCAGTAAGCAAACACACATTTCACCAGCAATGATCGAGTATGATCGCAAGACTGCTAAATTAATTCTCTTTTAAAATTTAAGTAGCATATTTCAAATGACCTGATTTTCCTCCAGGAAGCTGGCACTGGATGATGCCAGATGGATCCTGTTCACCGCTATGCTAACTTTATAAGAAAGTTTTCCTTTTAATAAAAACATTTACCGTAACAAGTGTTCTACACCGACTTCCTCGGCCTCTTCTGCTCCAATCTCACTGGTGACGTGTTCGAACGTCTTGGAGGTCGGAGTGCCATCCTGCGAGGGGCGAGAACCGAGAGGCAAGGTTAGGCACGAGCCAACAGCCGGAACACACGAACCCATGGAACCAGGCGTCGCACCTGCGAACTACAGGCGCTGCTCAACAGTGGGAAAGCTAAGGTTCCCTGACACCCTGACTTGCAGGACAGGATCCGCAAGAGGCAGAAAATACAGAAAAAAAAAAAAAAAAAAAGCAGAATATCAGGGGACTGAAGTACACAAGTAAGGAAACAAGTTTAAGTGCCACAATGGCTTTTAAACACACAACATTTTAGATAGGAACTTGTTAGAAACCATGTTAGTGAGTCTAGCAAACCAGTTATATATAGTCCACAAGAAATCAGAAAAGACTCCAGGTTGAGATTTTCCTCTGTTTAGCTGGCACTACCACTTATCACTGGTTGCTGGTGTTTTTGCAGGTTTCTGTGCGGGTGGATAGACTCTGGAAAACCCTGCTAAATGTCATGATACTTTCCTGACATGACTTTATTATATTATGAGATACCTTTTGTCATGCTGATACTCACTCCCAGCTAATTAGAAGCACACACAGAGTTCCAGAAATAAATAAAAATATGGAGCAATATCATTACAATGACAATTTACACCACAGAGATTAAGGAAGCAATTTAAGGGATTTAAAAGCTGAATTACTGAGGATGAGTTTTACCCATGTATTTTCCAAACCCTTATTTGGACCAGTGTACTGTCATAAACAGAAAGCACTACTGAGACTTCTGTGAATTCCCAGAACTAAGAACAGCTCCTTCACCTGCAGGACTGTAACACTGGGAACAGCAGTTTCTCCGTAGCAGGGCCTCAGACAAGCAGGAGACTCAAACTCCTTTACAGATCTCCAGAATGCATAAAAACCCCATACAACTGTGAAAGAAAAGCTAAAGCCGACCAAGTACTTGACAGTGCCTGTGCGCACCATGGTTGCGAGTGATGAACAAGCACTGCTTTTGTCTGACCTCCTGACTCAGCAGTAGCTGGCAAACAAACGAGTCAGCACAGCCACTTGAAAGGCTTCTGCCAGCAGGGTGACCGGCACCAGCGACACGTCAGAAACACTCTGAGCTGGCGTTTTGCTGGCTGCAGACACAATGGAAACAGGCAAGAGCACCTGGAGCACAACAGCAGCTGAGGCTGTGGAATTCCTTAGCTCAAACCATAGAATCCCACAATGGTTGAGGTTGGAAGAGATCTCTCAAGATCATCTAGCCCAATCCCCCTGCTCCAGCAGGGACCCCTAGAGCATGTGGCACAGGGTGGCATCCAGGTGCGTTTGGAAGACCTCCAGAGAAGGAGCACATAGAACACAGCTCTTCCTTCAAGAGTATTGATGGATGAAAGATTCAGTCACGCAGACTTACATTCATTTGGGGATTTAAACTCACAGTTCACAGGTCCTCATTCACAATATCCTCTATAAAATCAAAAGCAGTTAGATGCCATGGGATGTGCACCTCTCAGAAAATAAGGCAACCCTTTTAACATAAGTCTTTTTCCTAGGAAATGACTACAAGGCATGTTAAATACTTACATCATGTACTTCTTCAACAGAAATATAAGCTTCTGTGGGCAGCCCCAGGTCCTTTGGTTTCACATCTATAATCACCAATACCTTATGGAAAAAAGTATATATTTCAGAAAAACACATATTTTTCAAGATCTAGAACAAAAATCACAGAACCACAGAATGGTTGAGGTTGGAAGAGACTTCTATAGATCATCTAGTCCAACTCCTCTGTTCAAGCAGGGTCTGAAGCATAGAAAAGAAGATATCTACCTACTTACTAACTACTTCAAAAGACTGTGATCAGAGTTCCTCGATCACTTTACC